GTTCCTCAATATCTACCAATATATGTAACCACTACACTCATCATGTTAGAAGAAAATTGGAAACATAACCTAGTAGCTTCCTGGCCTTTTAGCAGAAGTAAGGGGTTCTATGCCACTGTCAGGTAAGCAAGCATTAGAAAATGTGAGAAGGCAGGGTAACCTATGAAGCTTTAGGTGTTTGCCCAAAGCTCTTCAGTCAGCCCACAGTCTTCATAATATAATTTCACTTGGTTTCTTTCTTTCCTCAGTAAGAAAAGACACAGCCCTTTCCCTTCCATAGACTCAGGAAGAAATAGCTAAGAGTATTCATTCTTGTCAGATCTACTAATGAAATAACCAACTTCCATGTTAGAAACACTACACTCTGAACTCAGCAGTCAGGAAGAAACAGCACTCCAAAAGTGTAGAGTGACAAGCGGATACATTTTAACAAGTGCTATTTGACTTGGTATTCCCAACACTGTCTAGCACATAGAAGGTGCTCAAAGCTGAAGAAAGAATGCCTGAAGGAATGAACATACAAATAGGAGGCTCAAGACCTCTCACAAACATCAGTACTGGAAGGGTTCTTAGAATTTACCTATTACTGGTACACTTCCCTCATGACAGGCTGGAGAGACTGAAGGCCTGAAGAAGGAACTTTCCTAAAGACCCACTTTATTTGGATCACTTTACCAAGGACAGGAAAGAGTTTCTTCTGACACAGAAAGAGAAAAGTAAAAATTCTCAGTTCCATGTTACTTTCCATTTCCCATCAATCACCTTCCAATTTCATGAAATCATGAGATAATCCTCCAAAGTGACAGTTCTGATACAACAAATTAGAACCTGGGATTGAAAAGTTTTTCAGCTCTATCAAGCATGAAATGGGAGGAGGGATGAACAGCAAAGCCAGTCAATCATGAAAAGACCACCCCCTTTACTTAACCAATAGACTGTTCCAAAGGAGACCACCTTTGTACTCTGTTTTTTTGTTTTGTTTTCTTCTTTTGAGGACAGAATAATGAGGCAAGGTAGCCAGGAGAAAAGACTGTGAGTTAGGAAAGAGGTACATGATAAATTCATTCCTATCTTTGACAGATCAGAGACAGACCATTCCCAATCTGTAACAATGCCAATTTTCAGCAGTGCTGGCTATGAAAGGCCTAACCCTGGTAGTATTGGTAGCCAGAACTTTTTCCCTCTGGGAACCCTAAGTCTAGAAATTCCAGTGGGGTGAGACTCCCAGGAAGATACAAAGGGACGCAAGACAGGCTGTTACAGAGCAACACTATTAGAACAGAGTACAGATTAATTGTAGCTGTCATCTCATCCAGAGAGAATTAGATTTGGAGGCGGGTGATAGACCAGATGACTTCTAAATGTCCCTTCCAGTTCCACCATTCAGTAAAGCAGTCACAGGAGAGGAGGAGGCAAGAGAAATGTAAGAACAACACCCTTAAAACAAGCTACTGTTAAGAGACAGCTAGATAATAATGGAAAGCTAGAAGATTAGTAGTCAATACTACCTCTATCACTGACTCACAGAGCCAGTAGGACTGTTCAAAGACAAGCCTGATAGAAATCACCAAGATGGTTCCTGCTCTGTCTCTCATCATCTACACTTTCAAAAAGGGTCAAGTGAACTAGAGGACCAAAGAACTAAAGAGTTGCAGGATCTTCTCTCATATAATCTCCATTCCTGATCCTTGCCCCACCCTGAAGCCTGCAGGCAGGGCAGGTTCAAGGGTTAAAAGACCAAGATTCTGACTCCTATTTACCAAGTACCACTTTAGTGCCACTCGAGTGGCTCAAGCAATGCTAGGAATTGCAGAAGAATAAACAGCCCACGCAGCCCCTGTTAAAGTTTAGCTGAATGCAGACCCAGAAGCCTTTAAATACTTCAAGGAGCTGGGCTCTATGTCTGCTCACACTGACAGACCCATCAAATGACCACAAAAATCACCTTTCCCCTGAACTATTGATCTAGGGCTAAAACCCCGGCAAATCAAAGAGGTTTCACCAAGACTGACCCTCTGACTAACACCTAGATTCAACTCTAGCTTTGCCACTGGTATGCTGCATCACTCTAGGTTCACTTTTCCCTATTATGTGCCGAAATTTCCTCACCTATACAATGAAAAAAGTTGGACTTTATAGTTGTGGAGAGCCTTTTCAATCCTAACATTTAATAAATCCTAAGAAGGAAAACCAGAAACTCAAGAACATCTTGGAAATTCAAACAATTACTTTTTAGGGAAACCAAGAGAGCCCCAAAGACTTTGTGATTTTAAAATAAAAAATGTTTAAGGGGGTAAAGAGAAGAAAAATCTTTACATATCTGCCATCATCACCAGACGTTATAGATGGCACTTAACAAGCTTCTCCATTCTGGCTACTAAAGCAGACTCAGGAAACTGGTAACCAGGAACAGAGTCCAAGAATGGCAAAAAGGGAGGAGGGGGAGTTGCAGGAGAGTGAGGGCATGTTTTAACACATTTAAGGAAGGTTGGGCTGAATAGGAGAGACAACTGGCAAAAAAAAGTGAATCCAGCTCTGAATAGACTGTAGACATAGTTCATATGAATGAAAGGGGTTTGATTTTCCACTACCTTTCTCTATCAGTCATACTCCAGAAATAGCCTAAAGCACACCAGTTAAAAAGGAGTACAGAAAGGAAAATTTTCCTCTCTTCATTAAAGTTACTGGCTGGTATTTTGTGAACTAGGGTGTGCCCCTGAATACCTCAGCCTTGGGATGAGGAATGAGAAAAGTAACAGGAGGCACCTTGTGACACTCCCAAACCTTACCAGGAGACCACACAAATGCTGACCTTGATCACTTTGCCCAAATTACCCACTTCCTTTTGTCTGAGCTCCACAAAGGCCCTAGAACAGCTAGTGATTTGCTTTAGGGCAAGAGAGGGAACTCAAACTTCAAGAACTCAATTATTGGGTCAGAGTAGAGGGTCAATGGATTGAGCATCAGAAAGCCTAGACCCCAATCATAGCTCAGTCATCATGTACCCTTAGGTAAGCCTTTTCCTGTAGGCCTAAATATTCTCCTTAACTTAAAAAAGAAAGAGGGTTGTACTAAGTAGATAGTTTCCAAGATCCCTTTCAAGTTAAGACTCTATTGTCTTAACTGGCATGATATAGTTGCTTTTCCTAAAAATTGATCATTCCTTGAATCAAAGAGCATAGAAAATTCTCTAATGCTTCCAGTCCATCAAAATTCTACCCTCTCCTGCCAATTTGATTCAAGTTTCAATCTACAGAAAAATACCTGTATTTAAGTACCTTCAGTACCCCAAACCTGACCCCAAACAACTCATACTCAAATCTCTCTCCATACACAGGAAAATGATCACCATGCTGTCTTCTTTGCCACTTTTGACTGAGATGGCATGGTTAATGCGACTCTGAAGGAACTTCTAGGCTCACTGTGTTCAAAGGTGGACTAACTCAGAACTAAGCATGAGATATTCCACTAGGGAAGAAAACCCATGGAGCAAAGTCTATTTCCAGAGATCCACCTACTATTCAGGCAATGCCACACCTTTAAAAGAGTCAGATTCAACCACAAAAAGAACCAAGGAAAAACTCCTGGAAGGATCTTTAAAATCCTCTGTGTTGGCAGAGACAGAGGGGTTTTATTCCCCCTCTCTTTGCAAAATCATTCTCTCTGACTTTGTGGGAGGAGGGGTTTGGGAAGAAAGTGTGGTAAAGCACCATGTCATAAAACCACCAGCAATTTAAGACAGAGATGGTGAAAGCACATACTTGCTGAAAACTTGGTGTTTCTAAAGGACAGGGTTCTGAAAAGGCAAGAATGACTTGGCAGTGAGGCTGGAATACAGCAACGTGGCAACCAAAGCTGAGAACGAACCCAAAGAACTGGGTCCCCTATTCTTTTCCTCTCATCCTAGGAGCCTTTAGCTCTTTTCAAGGCTACTAGTCACTATCTCAGTTCTACAAGACTCGGGCAGTCCTAGGGAGATGGCTCTGGCAGCTCTGCGTAGCCTAGGCCAGCCCAACAAGCGCTTGGCCTGAGAGACTCAAGCCAGGGTGGTCATCAGGCCTTTCTGAACGAGGGAAGGGCCCCAGCAGCCATTTGGCATGACTTGCACAAAAGCAAGCAGAGCTCATTAGTCAGGCACACCCCTCCCCCTCCCCTCACTCCTGGGCATCCGGCTCCCCTAGGCCCCACTCCCAGGAGGCTTCTGCTCTTCTCTTAACAGCCAGTGGGGTGGAGACCAGATCCCAGATCAACCACCACTCTATTAAGGTGTGGCCCCACAGGAGAAAATCCACACCACATAGAACAGTCCGGAGGGTATAGGAGGGGATAAAGCGATACTAAGTAAGGGCAGGGCAGGATTTGGCGAGTGTAAAGGAAGGAGAAACCGGTCCTCTCTCCTAGGAGATGGGGTAGGCCTCTCCTCAGACTGATGCCTAGTAAATATTGGCGCTCTCGAGTAAAAGCGTCCAGCCTCAATGATGATCTCTCTTCTCATCTCCTAGTGGGAAACAGCTGGAGCTGCCAGGGGAGGCTGTGGGAATGGTGAGTGGAGGTGTGGGATCCGCCCTGGCTGGCTCCCTCCTTCCTCCCTGTTTCTCTGTTCTCATGGCTCCTCTTGGACAGTGGCAATCTTGCCCCAGAAAGGTGCCAATTTCTAGGCTAAGGGTAATGTTCTCCTCTGGACCAGAATCCTTTCCCCTATGCCCACAGCCCGTCAGGGGAAAGGGAGACCCCGGGCCCCAATGAAGCCTTCCTCACCGTGGCATCCCAGACTCAAGAAACTGGAACCTGAAAAGAGGCCGGCCCCACCCTGTCCACACTACTAGCCGGGACACCCTCTCACCCCTGAGGGCGCGCCAGACCAGGACCCCATTCGTGTGCCCTCCCTACCCTCGGCTATGGGAGAGCGCGGCGTTTTAGGAGGGCCTGGTGGCTGTCCAAGCCCTCAACCATTTGCAAAGAGCCCCCAGGGTCGACTGCGTCCTCCCCCCAGCACTCACCGTCTTAGGCATGGTGGCGGCAAAGGCAGCGAAGTTGGCGAAGTTTGGCTAGGAACTGTCGGGCAGCGCTGAGCACGGTGCACACGGCTCGGACTCGGGAGCCAGGGGCTCGGATTGGGTCTCTCCTAGCGTCAGGGCGACTGCTCGGCTTCCTGCTAACGGGCCACGACTTCACAAACCCCACCCAGGAAAGAGCCTCCCGCGTCGCGCCGCCCGCTCCTTTATGTGGCCCGGCTTCCGCGCCGCTCCCCGCCCTCGCTCCCGCCTCCCAGCCGGCAGCTGGCCTCGCCCCGCCCAGCTCTGCCTGGCCCAGCCCGGCCACGTGGGGGACCCCGGGCAGAGCCCAGGCGGCCCAAGGGGAGCTCCCACCCCGACCCAGACCCACCTCTCCTCTCCCACCACCCCTCACAGCTTCTAGGCCCTGGGTCCCATCCATCCAGTCCCATCCCTACTCAGAGCCCTACCCTGGGCGGCACCCTAGCAGATGCTTACGCAAACTCTAAGTGCAACTTTTCACTGATGAGGAGCTCCCTACCTTTCAAAGCTGTCAGTTCCCTCTCAAGACAACCCTGACTCTTAGAAAGTTCTTCTTGTGTGTACCTTCTCTTTGCGTCTTCCAAACGTGGATCTAAGCTCTACTCCCTGGGGCCGCACAGATCCCCTGCTGTCCCTAATAGCTCCTCAGAGACCTGCAGATCTCAAATCCCTAGGAAACTTTTCTTGGCTAAACGACCTCAGCTCCTCCAGAGCTTCATCCATTCTATTCTGTAGGACTTTTCCCCCCATCGTGTTTTCTCCCAATCTTTGCACAGTCCTCCTTTTCACCAGAATTGAGCTCCTTTCTCCCATATCTGTTCTTTACTCACTTTCCTTTCTCCAAATTTCAGTCTCTACCTTCCTCAAATCAGTGCCCTGATTCTTTAGCCCTGCCCCAATACATTCACTTTCTGATGGGGCTATAATTTCCTCAGGTTAGATGCACCCTTCTGTTCACTCCCTTGGGATTTATCTCCCAGCTCCCTTCCTACTTCTTGTCAAGGTCACAGAATCTCAGGACAGCAGTGTTCTAGACTGCTGTAGTCATTTGGTTAAGTCTGAATTTAAGTTTGAAAGTGGCTGTCCATAGTCCTGTTTTCTCCTCTTCACTGACAACCATGTGGATGCATGGTCTCAGTATCCTTTGTGAGTCAAGTCCCTTACCCTCTCTAGGTTTGAGTTTCCATTTCTGTAGCAAGAAAGGACTGAGCTCCTGGACTTCCAAGGTCCTTTTCCACTCTGACTTTATAAAAGGATGAGAAAGGAAGTAGACCCCCTAGGACAATAGATGAGCCTAACAGGGCTGCATAAGGGCTGACCTTGCATTTGCACTCAGGACTCAGTAATCTTGTTCCCTCCTCCTCTGCTTTTCCAGCTCAACAGCAACCACAATTCAGTGTGCCTCAGTTTCTCTTAATGCTGCCAAGATTCATTGATGTGTGCTAGAATAAGCAAAGTATCCTGCCAAGACCATTCCCTTGAGCTGAGCATTTGTCCAGAGAAAAAGCAAAACTCCCCAGAAAGCCCAAACAGTCTCTGTGAGCAGTTGTCCACAAGGAAGAACAGCACTCACCAGAAAGCCTCAACAGCAGAGGTAGCAGTAGCAGCCAAGCACACTCCTGAATATTGCTATGGTCCTTTTCCCCCTAGAAGTTCAAGGAACTCACTGATTCCTTCATTCATGTTCACTTAGAGCTCACAGGGGCCTGGCACCAGGCTAAATGCCTAAAGGGAAAGAGAAGTTGATTGGAGACTCCAAGTTTCTGGAAAGTGGAAACCCCCTGTGTTTCATTCCCCACCTCCCATGACAACCACCTCCTCCCACCATACACACACAGGAAAGCTGGATAGAGAATGTCAAACAGCTGGACACACTACTAAAAGAAAAAAGGGGCACAGGAATTCAAAGGAGGTGGGAGGTGTCAGATGGTCAGAAAGCTAAAGAAGTAGAAGAAGTAGAGGGAAAGAGGGACCGAGGGAGAAGGGTGGGGTTGGACCTCCAGAGAAGAGAGGGTGGTAAATGAAGGAAGAACATGAACTATCAGTGACTACTTAATTCAGCCCTCACTCCAGGTTGGGGGAACTGGACATCAGAAAGAGAAAAGGACTTAAGGCCAGACCACTAGAAAGGAGTAATAGAGGAGACAAAGAAGTTGTCGCAATATGCAGCTATTGCAATAATACAAGCAAGAAATTTTGAAGTGAATGCAGTTGGATACCATCATACTAAGTGAACTGTGTAGAAACAAAGAACTGAATACCGCGTGTTCTCGCTCATAAGTGGGCCCTGAACACTAGTCACTTTAGCACAAGGGTGGGATCAGCAGTTGCAAGGCACTGCTAGGGAAGAGGGGAGGCACGTGACAATACAAAGGGTACCTGGCTCACTACCAGGGAGAGTGAGGGCCACCTAGAAGCCCAAACTTCACCTACATGCAGCCTACCTATGCAGTACATCCTCACTTGTACCCCACAACTCTATAATAAATAAATACATTATTCAAAAAAGAAATTTTGAGGGCTAGAACCAGGGGAGTTGTGCCTCCTTTCCCACTTGATCAGATAGAAGCTGGTAATGGTGATCATGGTCAGCAACTAGACATTGCTTGGAGGCTAGATTTAAAAACATTTGGCTAGGAAGGATTCATCTCAGTATCCCTCTATCACCACAGCAGAGCAGAGGCAACTGAAGTGCTCTCTTGTTCTTCAAGATAGCCAGGAAAACAGCTTTGTTTCCTCTCTCCTTGTAAACACCTTCATGCCTATATGGCCTAACCTTCTAATATCCCTCTACCTCACCACCTACTGTGAAACTATGTGAATTAATATTCCTGGGGCCAGAGTAACCCCCACAATTAGGTTTAGACATGATGATATTTATGACAGTATTTGTAGAGAAGAAGACATGGACATACGTGCTAAACATTCACATGTAGGTTGGCTACTCTGGGAGAGAGAAGTAAGAGGTATGAAGAGACTTGGGTTTTTAGATAAGCTGGACTCAAAAAGTTCCAGGAGGGATAGGCAAGTGTTTTTTAAACAGCAAAGTTAGGTGATGGCCAACATGAGGAGAGAGTGGTACAGGGACATTTTGGAACTGGAGTTCAAGAAAGCCGGGGGCATCTGAATGGGGGCCAGGAGATGCAAAAGGAGAAGATTTGACCTGGGATCTAGGGCCAGACTTTGATTCCAGTTAAAAAGGCTCATGATTCCTTAGGGACTGGGAATGTTCCAGAGCTCCAGCTATTCTGGGCATCAAAGTTAACAGAATGGCAAGCAAGAACTGCATAAGGTTGATTTATGTAAAAGCCTATGCCAAACTCAAGAGAGAAATGAAATTGGATTTATAATCATCTTCCCATATATTGTTCCTATCCTAGATCTACACTCACTGCAATAAAGAAGCTTCTGCATTCTAGATGGCATTCCTCCTTCAGGGGATGCAGTGCAATGTAGGAGAGGTAATACCAGAGAGGAACTGGGTGGGGAGCAGTCCTGAATCCTAGAGATTTTGGAAAAGAACCCCTCCCCAGCATCCATTAGATGGTAGCACTTGAAAGTTCCTCATCACTCAGGGCACTAGCAGTGGAGATGAGAAGGAGAGAAGCTGTGAAGGACACACAGAGAGCAGGGCTCAGTGACCAATGGCAGGGGTCTGGCAGAGGAGTGTTAAAAATGATGACACTGTGCACACAAAATACACAGAGCTGCTTTTCATTTTCATCATTGTTGGGAAGTCCTTCCTTATATCTAAATGAGATCTCGTTTGCTTCACGCAGCACATTTGCTCTTGGTTTATCCATTGGAGAGGAATTAACTAAGTCTCTGAGGCTGTCCTTCTTCTCCATTCATAGAAAAGAAATGTGTCAGAGAGAGATGAGGCCAAACATCAGCTTGAGGCCACACACTGAGGATTTCTTTCCCCCTCTTTCTTCCCCTGGTCAATAGCCCACACACTTATAGGCTAAAGAATATACTGTTGTCTCCCCAAAGGAAAAAGACCTTTCTCGTGGCACAATGTTACTACTGCAGTAGTAGAAAAATCTTGATTTTTACCATTCTCAGTCTTCTACCTACTTCTTGGAAACAAAAGCTAGAATTTGGGTAAAAGGATATAATATTCATATGCTGAGCCTTGGGGAGGGCACTTCAATATCTAACCTTATATAACCCTCACAAGAATCTTCAGAGGTAGAAATGAGAAGGACTTTTAGGCTCTGAGGAGTGCTATGACTTACCCCAAAGGCACATGGTTTGTTGACAGTGAAATAGGAATCTGGGCCCAACTGGTGCATGTCCAAAATCTACCTTCATTCCATCAGTCTGAATCTGTGACCTTTTCAGTCCCAAGCTGTGACCAGGCATACCTGAGGAAAGGATGTATTTTTAGATTTTTGTCACCCCTGCCCCTTAGTGGTCAGACTAGACAGCCCAGGACAGCAAGTGGGTAATAATAAACAGTGGTGATAAGGCATCTTACCACTATTAAGCACCTGGGAATATTTATTATTAATCACACTAATGGATCATTGTGAGACAGCAAAGAGTTTCTATCTGGCTTTTCCTCTGATACAGCTTGAAGTTTTCGAGAGCTTTCCCCAGCCAGCCAATGTCAATTTAATTTGAGCCAGTGTCCTTTTGGAATGAAATTAGCCCTTCAGAGAAGGTTTCCCAGTCTTCCAATTGAGTTACTGCCCCTCAGCCCTGCCTCCACCAACTGACCAGGGATCATGCATACATGACCAGTCTGCATGTGCCCAGAGAGAAAACAGTAGCTGAGTTTATGTCCCCTCTGCGAACCACCCATGGTTCCAACTCATTACACCTAGAAGGAAACTGTCCATCCCCCCACCTCTCCCATGCATCCAGCAGTGACTAGATGCCTGTTAGGTGCCAATTTCTACATGAGGCAGTGCGAGGGATGCTTGCCTTCTTGCTTCCCTGGTGCTCTCCTACCCAGCAGCTCTCCCTGTTGGTGATTATGCTGTTAGCTCTGTCTTTTGTGTGCACCGTGTCATCAACTTTAACTCTCCTCTGCCTGGCCTCTGCCATTGATCACCAAGGTTTGCTGTCTGTCTGTGTGTCCTTCACAGCTACTTTCCCTTCCATCTCCACTGCCAGTGCCCGAGGTCAGCCCTCCCTGACTCTGGCCTGAGCTGTGCGAACAGGATCTTCCCTAGTCTTCTTGCCTCCAGGCTGTCATGTCCACGCCAGCCTCCACAG